CCCTCCCCTGCCCCGGCGCCCTCGGAGTACAGCAGCCAGTCTAGATACTCCTCGCTCCCCAAGTATAAAGAAGCGTCGGGCTCGTATCTCTGCTGGTCCAGCACATAAGCCATGGTTTCTGGGACCGCGCCCTCCGGGCTCTCGGCCGCGGGGAGCTCGTCCTCATCTCCCCCTGACGGCCAGGCCGCTTCCCCGTCGCTCCTTTTCTTGTCCGTGACCCTCCCGGAGGGCTCCAGGCCCAGCTGTTCTTCCTCTTCGAAGGACACCGTGCTCTCAGAATCCTCAGGCTGCTGCTCTGCCGGCGAAGATCGAGCTTCTGGATCCTTGCTTACCCCCGACGGTGGAGCAGGTTCTATATTCTCATGTTTTAGAAATTCTGAAAAGAACAAGAAAGTTATGGGGGTTTTCATTTTGTTTTCCAAATTAACAAAAAGAAATGTTATGTGTACTTGTGGTTTCCGAGACCTCAAAGTATTCCCTCTTCCTTGTTTCACTGGAGGTTAGGAACACACGCCTGTCCCCAGCTCCAGCACAAACGGAGCAAGTCACCTGTCAGAACTTTCTTGGCCTGCTGGAAAAAAATCAGAGCACACTCCTGCCTTGCTGAGAATTCCCAGTCTTCCACAGCAAACGCAAATGTTAAATGGGCGAAGCAAAAGTGGAATCTAATGAACAGTGCTAACTTGTGGATTGACTGTGGCCCAAAACCAGCTCAGAATTCCTAGGGCTGTTGCTAATGAGGTCTGATCCTAATGCTTTCTTTTTTTTTTTTTTTAATGTCTTTATTGATTTCAGAGAGAGGAAGGGAGAGGGGGAGGAGAGAGAGGGAGAGGGAGAGGGAGAGGAACACTGAGGATGAGGCCTGGCCAGTTATGCTCGCAGTGGTTAGAGCATCGGCCTGTAGACCAAAGGGTCCCGGGTTCGATTTCAGCCGAGGGCACGAACCTTGGTTGCAGGCTGGATTCCTGGCCCCAGTCGGTGCTCATGCAGGAGGCAACCAATGGATGTGTCTCTCTCACATCGATGTTTCTCTCTCTCTCCCCCGCCTTCTACTCTCTCTGAAAAGCAATGGAAAAAATATCCTCGGGTGAGGATTTAAAAAAAAAAAAAATCAATGATGAGTCATTGATCCCCTGCCTCCCACATGCCCCCTACCGGGGATCAAGCCTGCAACCCAGGCATGAGCCCTGACCGGGAATCTGACCGCGATCTCCTTGACCCTAGGTGGATGCTGGACTGCTGAGCCACACCGCCGGGGCATGATCCTAATAATTTCTAATCAGGATGCAAATAGCTCTAATTTGGAATAGTAAATCCTATAAATAACACCTATTTCTTTAAGCATTGGGGTCTTGTCCCGCACTCAGGAACATTAACACTAACCGTTTAACCCGAGACTCCGCCTCTGTAACTTCTGGAGATCTTCAACAGTCCTTAGACTCGCGCCAGGGGAGCTACCCTGGGCCCTGGCGGTCACCTACGAGCTGCTCAACAATCCATTTGGGAAGAACGGCTCCCTCGTTGGCCACTAATGATCTCTGAGCGTTGAGAAATGAGCGTTGCATTGCTTCAGAAAACTAGGGTTTGACTCCTAGTGGAAAAGGAAGTCACTGATCTACCACATCTGGGGACTAATTGCCTGTATTTTCCAAAAGGCTATCTACTAAGTGAAAGATGTGGCTTGTGGCGTGGGCATTGTTTATATTCGTGCATTCACTTACTTGACAAAGAAATCCCCGATGTGTCATCATGAACAGTGGCCTCTTTCCAACTGTGAATGTTTCGGGGTGTCTGTCATAATAATGAGCAGTCTATACGGGCCCTAAATCAACTGCAAATTTTGAATGTTGTATAAACAAAAAAATTACCAGTCCCCTGAACCGATAAGCTACACTGCTCCCTGCTTTTAAATCCGGCCACTTCCTCGTTACCACATTTCACTGGAAACTTATCTCTGGGAGAAAGACAAATGAAAATAGGTGATTGTTCCCTTTCCTCAGGAGATATGCCTTGTCCCTTTCACCCCCAAAAAGTGTCGCTTCAACTCACCGTGCCTGGAGCCCCAAACGGTCGCCGCCTCTGGAAAAGTACTAAACAAACATTTGAGGAAATGCTGACAACTGTCTTCTCCCTTTTTCTGAATCAAAATCAACAGCTTCCGACTTTTCTTCAGCGGGTCAGCAGTACCCTCCAGAGTCTCGTACTCGGCCTCGGAAACCAGCCTGCGGGAGGTTAAGGAGTCCAGGATCGAATCGAGATCTTGCTGGAGGATTTCCAGCAGCTGCTTTCGTTCCCTTTCTATCATCTCGGAGGCAACGCTCCCGGTGGCCATGGTTCTTGTTTTCTCCAGGCCAGGAGCTGGATTACACAACCCGTGCAGGCGGGCCCACCTGCGGGAGGTCAGCCCCGACCGGCGGCAGAGGAGGAGCCAGGGCTCCTGCAGCCTGGAAACAGCCGAGAGGGCAGGCGATCTGCACACAGGGAAGTGCAAGCAAAGGGAAAGGGGGAGCAAAGGCAGAGCCCCGAAGCGGCTGGCCAGGAGGCTAAAGATTTAGTTGTCCCTGCCCAAAAGGGAGAAACTAAAATCAAGGCGGGCCTGGCCGGCTGGGCTCAGAAGCTGGGCATCCACCTAGGATCCGGTTCCATGCCCGGTCAGGCCACATGCCTGGGCTGCGGGCTCGATCCCTGGTTGGGGCCTGCAGCAGGCAGCTGATTCTCATCATTGATGTTTCTATCTCTCTCTCTCCGAAATCAATAAAGATGTAATTTTAAAAAATTAAAAAAATAAAAATGACAAGGGTCCAGCTTCAGATGAAGCAGGAGAGCCAGAAGCCCAGTCTGGCTAATATCATACACCGTCTTATCAGTGGGCTCTGTCTCCCTTCTTGTACAATCCATAGGAATGTTTTTGTCAACTGTTTCGTAAATGTAAGTTTTTTAGTAGCTCAAGAAACATTTTTAAGAAGGAGGGAATTCCACTTCATCCCCCCCCC